TTGTACCATCTTCATTAGTTCTTTGTCAGTTCGATCTTTTCTCTTCTTTCCTCTAATCTGTTTGATCGAGTCATGTTAACAGTAAATGCACCTTGAGGTAACTTTTGATCTAAACTTAATACTGATGTGTATGAAAGCCAACCTTCAAAGTGAGTTTGTCATTTCACATATTTACTAGTACAGTACTTAATGTGAAAGAAATAGAATTGATCATTGCAATATGAGAAAGATCTGTTAAGTTCTTCCTTTAGCCATTTTGTGTTTATGATCAGTCTCAAAATATAACATGGAAAACGAGGGATCAAAGGCAACCTACATATCAAATTTGAGAAAGATCCCTCAAGTTATTCCTGAGAAATAGTACTAACAAACCTTCAATGTCAAAAGTCGAAGATGGCTGTCGGTAGGCAATTTTGTTTTACTGATCAGTTTCAAAAGTAAACATGAATAATAAAGGATAGTGGGGAACCTGCATTGGCTGGCCCAAAAACAAATTTTGGGGCGTGTAAAGAATTTGAAGCACTGGCACAAATAATGTTGGCAAGAAATATTTCCACAGCATTTAACACAATGCTTCAGCACATTTAAATTACATTTAACATGACAATGTTTGTTATATGTACAGAATAAAACATTTTTAATTCTTCAACACTAGTTAAAACCTGACATGATCCACTCCATTCAGGTCTTCCCAAAAAGAAAATGCACAAAACTTGCACCTCAAAGAAGACACCCTGGCAGAATAATTATATAGAAAATCTGAAAAAAAAATCATCACATTTGCTAAATCACGCACAGTTCGATTCAAATCGAAGTAATGACAACTGAAAAAATGTACTGCCCCCCAGTTAATGTGGAAGGGACTATAATTTCTTTTATTCATAAGTTTTTCAACAGCCTAAACTATTTTTGTTGGGCCAGTGACTACTTCACTTTTGACAACTTTTGGTCGTCCGAGCAAGACTTTAATCGCCATTGGAAAGCCAGAGACCTTCCATTACAGGCACTGCTGCACAACAAGGGAACAAGGGGAACCTACATATAAAATTTGAAAAAGATCCCTCCCGTACTTCCCGAGGAAATACCGATAACAAACTTTCACTATCAAAATCCAACATGGCTGCCTGTCAGCCATGTTGTTTATCCGATCAGTCTCAAAAGTTGCCCTGCACAGCTAGGGACCAAGGGAAACCTTCATATAAAAATTGAGAAAGATCCCTCTGGGACTTCCGGAGAAATACTGATAACAAACTTTCACTATCAAAATCCAAGATGGCTGCCTGTCGGCCATGTTGTTTATCCAATCATTCTCAAAAGTTGGCCTGCACAGCTAAGGACCAAGAGAAACCTACATATAAAATTTGAGAAAGATTCCTCTGGGACTTCCCGAAATACCGATAACAAACTTTCACTATCAAAATCCAAGATGGCTGCCTGTCGGCCATGTTGTTATCCGATCAGTCTCAAAAGTTGCCCTGCATAGCTAAGGACAAAGGGGAACCTACATATAAAATTTGAGAAAAAAACCTCTGATACTTCTCGAAAAATACTGATCACAAGAATTGTTTAAGGACGGACGCAGGGTGATTTGAATAGCCCACCATCAGATGGGATCTCTGGTTTTTAAATTTGACACAGTGAAAGTATATCATATGTAAATGTTCATGAAAACTGGAGCTATGGCCTTTTAAACTTTAATTTCTGCTTTAGAAACATTATAAGATAAACTCCTCAAATGTTTTTTGAAAATTTGTTTGTAACTTTGGCACAGGGAAAGAACATCATGTTGATAGGGGTTATCTACTCTCTGCTAACAAAGTTTGAATATGTAGATACAATGAATTGAGGAGTATAGTTTCTCTTGTTCTCTTTGATGCAATTCAGACAATCCTTAACAAAAGTAAATCAGAACTAATATCAAAACTAAATATTACCATTTGGTGGTCTAGAAGTACCATCAAATGGTAATATTTAGTTTTGATCTCAGTTCTGATTTAACGGACTCAAGAGCTTTCATTCCATGAAGGCTTAACATGTATAATGTCAAATATTGATAGAAATAACAACGTTTCTCTATACACTTTTTTTTTTATCATGATACTCATGTTATCAGTGGTTAGTTCTTGCTACCATTACCACTTATTTCAGGTAGTAACACATTTATTTCAATTTCAATCACTGTTTTCAACAAGTGTCAGTTATAACTAGTTTCAACCTAACTCTGTTCACAAATTCATATATTCACCACATTAAATTCAAGCAATGCACATTTTAACTTGTCATATAATGTCCAGTATTCAAATTGCCATCGTCTCTGTCTGTCCTTCCTTAAACAATGCTTGTTAGGGCTACTTCTCAGGAAGGACTAAAGAGATCTGTCTCAAATGTCACATGAAGATTCCTTACGGTCCGTAGTTTTGCATATTGAATTTTGTGACTGAGAGGCAGCAATCTTGAATTTTGAGAGTCAAATATTGTTAGTGCTGTTATTCAGAAAGTACTGCAAGGATCATTCTCAAATTTCACATGGAGGTTCCCCAAGGTCCCTGGTTATGAATACCAAATTTTGAGACTGGTTGGAAAAACCAAGATGGCCATGAGGAAGCCATCTTGAATTTTGAGAGTCATATATTGTTGGTGCTATTTCTAAGAAAGTACTTGAGGGATATTTTCAAATTTCTTTTGAAATTCCTCATGGTCTCTTGTTACATATTTCAAATTACGAGGTGTATGTTCATGTACAAGTGTCCCACTTAGGATTTCCAACACAGGACTGGGTAATATGTAGTACGGTGTACCTGTAAGGCAGAAGGGAGCAAAATATCATCTTTTGTAGATCTGATTAAGATCCTTTCATGGAGGGTGCCAGTATCCCTCTAGAATCTCTTGTTTTGTATCCATAGTGTCCAGATTTATCATGGATGGTGCCAGCATCCCTCTAGAATCTCTTGTTTTGTATCCATAGTGTCCAGATATATCATGGAGGGTGCCAGCATCCCTCTAGAATCTCTTGTTTTGTATCCAGTGTCCAGATTTATCATGGATGGTGCCAGCATCCCTCTAGAATCTCTTGTTTTGTATCCATAGTGTCCAGATTTATCATGGAGGGTGCCAGCATCCCTGTAGAATCTCTTGTTTTGTATCCAGTGTCCAGATATATCATGGAGGGTGCCAGTATCCCTCTAGAATCTCTCGTTTTGTATCCATAGTGTCCAGATTTATCATGGAGGGTGCCAGCATCCCTCTAGAATCTCTTGTTTTGTATCCATAGTGTCCAGATTTAGCATGGACTCTCTTAATTGCAATTACACTACATAATCAACAGAAAATCACAAGCAACATTAAGTGGGCTTTTTGATTTGTATTTATTTAGGCATAACTTTGTATATCTGGTCCATACAGAGAAATCATCTTTGAGTAACATTAATCATGCAATATTCCACAAGATGGCACTAAAAAAAAAAGGTATTTATTTGTTTATGATCACAGATTCACAGTGATACAACAAAAACACTTCATTTGTTTGTTTTTGTTTACAAATTTACATGTCACAGTGATCTCCCAAAAACACTCATCCCAAGTACCTGGAACTGTAAATTAGAACAAACATACAGTTACTACAAGAAAAAGAAATGGTAAACTGTAAACAATTTTCTTCAATATTGCAATGTTTCCCTCACTGAAATTGATCCCACACTGAAATTGATCCCACACTGAAATTGGTAGCACACAGACATTGATCCCACACAGACAATTATCTAACTATAACATTGATCCCACACTGAAATTGGTCCCACACAGACATTGATCCCACACAGACAATGATCCCACACTGATATTGATCCCACACTGACACTGATCCCACTATAACATTGATCCTAATATGACATTGATCCCACACAGACATTGATCCCACTATATCATTGATCCTAATATGACATTGATCCCAGACAGACCAAGGTCCTACACTGACACTGATCCCACACAGACCAAGGTCCTACACTGACATTGATGACACACAGACCAAGGTCCTACACTGACATTGATCCCACACAGACATTGATCCTACACTGACATTGATCATAATATGACATTGATCCCACACAGACCAAGGTCCTACACCGACATTGATCCCACACAGACCAAGGTCATACACTGACATTGATCCCAGACAGATCAAGGTCATACACTGACATTGATCCCACACAGACCAAGGTCATACACTGACATTGATCCCACACAGACATTGATCCCACACAGACCAAGGTCCTACACAGACATTGATCCCACTGACCCTACACAGACAATGATCCCACACAGACATTGATCCTGTACTGACATTGTACTGACATTGATCCCACACAGACCAAGGTCCTACACTGACATTGATCCCACACTGACAGTGATCCCGTACTGACTTTGATCTCGTACTGACATTGATACCACACAGACCAAGGTCCTACATTGACATTGATCCCACACAGACATTGATCCCACACTGATGACCCCACACAGACATTGATCCCATACTGATATTGATCCTACACTGACAGTGATCCCACACAGACAGTGATGCCGTACTGATATTGATCCCACTATAACATTTATCCCACACTAACATTGATCCCACACAGAGATTGATCCTCATATGACATTGATCCCACACAGACCAAGGTCCTACACTGACATTGATCCCACACTGACAGTGATCCTGTTCTGACTTTGATCTCGTACTGACATTGATACCACACTGACCCCACACAGACATTGATCCAATACTGACATTTATCCTACACAGACCAAGGTCCTACACTGACATTGATCCCCTACTGACATTGATGACACAAAGACATTGATCCCCTACTGACATTGATGACACAAAGACATTGATCCCCTACTGACATTGATCCCATACTGACATTGATCCCACAAAGACCAAGGTCCTACACTGACATTGATCCCACACAGACCAAGGTCCTACACTGACATTGATCCCACACAGACATTGATCCTGTACTGACATTGATCCCACATAGACCAAGGTCCTACACTGACATTGATCCCACACAGACATTGATCCCGTTCTGACATTGATCCCACATAGACCAAGGTCCTACACTGACATTGATCCCACACAGACATTGATCCCCTGCTGACATTGATCCCACACAGACCAAGGTCCTACACAGACATTGATCCCCTACTGACATTGATCCCACATAGACCAAGGTCCTACACTGACATTGACCCCACACAGATTTTGATCCCACACAGACCAAGGTCCTACACTGACATTGATCCCACACTGACCCTACACAGACATTGATCCCACACAGACATTGATCCCACACAGACCAAGCTTCTACACTGACATTGATCCCACACTGACAGTGATCCCACACGGACATTGATCCCACACAGACATTGATCCCACACAGACCAAGGTCCTACACTGACATTGAGACATTGATCCCACACGGACATTGATCCCAAACAGACCAAGGTCCTACACTGACATTGAGACATTGATCCCACACAGACATTAATCCCATACTGACATTGATCTCGCACAGACCAAGGTCCCACAATGACACTGATTCTCCCCTGACCTTAGTTCAACATTGATATTATTCCCACATTGACATTAATCCCGTGAAGACATTGATCCCACACCGACACTGGTCATACACTGATGGAAATGCCACACTGATTATGTTCTGTTGGTCCAAAGTCAGAAATACATATCAACACGGTGGATATATGGGTTTTTCTGGTGAATGGTCAACAGCAGAGTAACCGCATCTTAGGTGAAACCAAATTGTTGACTTTCTGAAATAAAATAGTTGACATTAATAACATTGATGTTATCCCCACTTGTACAGGTGGTTCAACTTCACCGTTGTAAGAAAACAAGAGGCCCATGGGCCTTAACGGTCACCTGAGTCCTACAGTATTTATTTTTGTTGTTGAAATATGTACCAATTTGAGAAAAAATAGTTAAGTATAATGTTAACTTAACTTTGTCAGGACCATGAGCTGATCATTCCTAGACCGATTTTCAGTGAGATCGGCCTATTAGAACTTGTTTTTAAGTTTGAAATAGGGATTTACTAAATAGCGGCCATGGCAGCCAAATTGTATTTCTGATTGACCCGAAAAATAACAACTCCTTGTCAGGACCATGAGTCGATCATTCCTACCAACTTTCGGTTCAATCGCCCCAGCAGAACTTTACTTTAAAGTTTGGAATAGGTATTTTCAAAATGGCGGCCGTGGCGGCCATATTGGATTTCTGATCGACCCGAAAAATAACAACACTTTGTCAGGACCATGAGTCGATCATTCCTACAAACTTTCAGTTCAATCGGCCCAGCAGAACTTGACTTTAAGTTTGAAATAGGTTTTCAAAATGGCGGCCGTGGCGGCCATATTGGATTTCTGATCGACCCGAAAAATAACAACACTTTGTCAGGACCATGAGGCGATCATTCCTACCAACTTTCAGTTCAATCGGCCCAGCAGAACTTGACTTTAAGTTTGAAATGTAAAATGTTAACGGACAACGGACGACGACGGACGAAAACGGATAGCAATAGGTCACTTGAGCTAAAGCTCAGGTGACCTAAAAATTACAGCTTTCATCAAACTTTATACTTAGGCAAGGAAAAAGTCCTGTTATTTTATCCTCCGGTAAAAGAAATTGAACACTTGAGTTAAAGTAATTGTATTCTTGTTTATTTGATTGCAAAAATTTATACAAACAAGTTACTTTCATAGTATGAAAAATTCTAGAAATCCACTTGACAACTTGTAAAATACTAGACCCCACTACTGCAAAACTGTAACTTTAATAATGCTCTTTTGTTCTTTTTCTCATAGATTCTGCATGAAATCGAAGGTGATCCTGTTTGAGACTGTTCTTAAATTACTTATTATTTCAACTTCCTCTGCCCCCGCCTTTCTTTATACTTACTGTACATGAGGCAAAGGGCCCTATACAGTGTCCGAACCGCCTCATAGCCTCCTGTACATCACTGGGGAGGATGGCCTGGGATGTACAAACCTCCATATTCTGTCCATGTCCACTCTGTAACACACAAAGGAGAGACAACATGATAGTAGATCTAAGCTTGGGAACCATGTTCAGTACTCCTAGATAATCTTAGTACCCTCAGGAACAAGTTTGGTACACACAGTTATGAGCTTGATACATTTAAGATCAAGTTTGGTAAACTCAGGAACAGGTAGAATACACTTAAAGCAAGTTGTATACACTTAAGAACAACTTCAGTACATTTAAGAACCTGTTTGGTATATCAGTACATTTAAGAACTTGTTTGGTATATGAATAGGTTTGGTACACGTAAGGACAAGTTGGTACTCATAAAACAGCTCAGTTCTACTACTTCAAGCTTTTTTCTGTGTAGACAGCTCACCTTTCTGCGTTTCTTTGACTTGGACTTGTGGGAGGATCCACTGCCCGAGGACCCAAGTCCTGATGATGAACCCAACACACCTGATGTTGAGCCTGGTGTTGACGGTGTAGTTGGAGGACTCTGTGTAAAATATAATCACTAAAAATTTATTTCTATTTCATTCCAGAATAATAATCAGGACATGTTAACGAATCTAGCGTACAATTTTAATCTAAAGATCATTTGATTTATAAACATTGTCTATGTTATTAAAAAGTTATAAAAAGAGTAGAGTTTTTACTCTTATTTATCCTCCTAGAAATTCCACCCTCCTATACACACCCCACCCCTCTGTTTCAATCCCTCATCCCCGATACTGACCCCGCCCTTTTGATTCAAACCCTCACCCTGATACTGACCCCGCCCTTCTGATTCAACCCCTCACCCCTGATACTGACCCCGCCCTTCTGATTCAAACCTTCACTCCCGATACTGACCTCGCCCTTCTGATTCAACCCCTCAGCCCTGATTCTGACCCTGCCCTTCTGATTCAACCCCTCACCCCTGATTCTGACCCCGCCCTTCTGATTCAACCCCTCAACCACTGATATTGACCTCGCCCTTCTGATTCAACACCTCAGCCCTGATTCTGACCCTGCCCTTCTGATTCAACCCCTCACCCCTGATTCTGACCCCGCCCTTCTGATTCAACCCCTCAACCACTGATATTGACCTCGCCCTTCTGATTCAACACCTCAGCCCTGATTCTGACCCTGCCCTTCTGATTCAACCCCTCACCCCTGATTCTGACCCCGCCCTTCTGATTCAACCCCTCAACCACTGATATTGACCTCGCCCTTCTGATTCAACACCTCAGCCCTGATTCTGACCCTGCTCTTCTGATTCAACCCCTCACCCCTGATTCTGACCCCGCCCTTCTGATTCAACCCCTCAACCACTGATATTGACCTTGCCCTTCTGATTCAACACCTCAGCCCTGATTCTGACCCCGCTCTTCTGATTCAACCCCTCACCCCTGATACTGACCCCTGTGGGAGAAGTGATGCCTGGGTGGTGGCTAGGCCGCCCTAGAACACTGCCACTGCTGGAAGGGGAGTGGTCATGGTAGTTGATACACACACTAGGTGTGTTCTTAGCCAAAGGGTCACTTAAGGCTGACCGTATGTCCTGCTTCACCAGCAATGCAAGGTCAACCACCTGTCGATCAAACAGACTAAATACTAAACCACCTGTCAATAAAAACACATCTTGATCAATGTATGAGGGTTATAAACCAATAAGTAACTTTTGTTTGCAATATGCTTTTTTATTGGTTTGTTTCCACATTCTATCAAGTGCTATACCAAACAAGAGGCCCATGGGCCTTAACGATCACCTGATATATTTATACTGAGAGTTGATTTTTGTTTTTAACATGAACAGAAATATTATTCAAAGTGACAAAAAACAATAAAACCACCTTATTCAATATCTGGCATGCAGATTTAAGACTGAAAAGTATTTCAAACTATCACCTCTGATTGTAAACAAGGAAAATGAAGAAATTTTATTTTACCACACAGACTCCATTGGGCCCCAACCTACAGCCCTTGGGGGTGTAGGGATGGCTCAAAATTTACAAAGTTTCAAACTGTCAACTTAGGGTTATAATTCCAATCAAGTTATCAACATGTAATATTCAAAGTATCATTTGCCATTATAAACCATAACAAATTTTGCCCCCCCCCC